GGGTCGGTGCCCGTAGCACAGTGGTTACAGAGCCAGCCACATACACTGAGGGTGATGCGTTTAAATCTGGCCTAGGCCAGCTAAACAACTGCAACAACAACAAAATAGCCGGGTGTGGTGGCGGGCGCCTGTAATCCCAGCTACTTGGGAGGTTGAGGCAAGAGAATTGCTTAAGCCCAAGAGTTGGAGATTGCTGTGAGCTGTGATACCATAGGACTTTACCGAGGGCAACACAGTGAGACTCTGTCTCAAAAAAAATAAAAAAATAAAAAAATAGAAAACTAGCTGGGTATTGTGGCAGGTGCCTATAGTCCCAGTTACTCCAGTGGCTGAGGCAAGAAGACCACTGGAGTCCAGGAGTTTGAGATTGCTATGAGCTAGGCTAATACCATGGCAATCCTGCCTGGAGCAACAGTTAAGACTGTATCAAAAAAAAAAAATTCTTAGTCTTTCATATTCATATGGTTGCTGTATTCCCTCAAAAGTTATTTTATAGTAGATAGCAGGTTTGAGCCATTGTTTTATACTGAAGTTTTGGATTTTGAAAAATATTTTGATGAATAACAAACTATTAATATATTCCTAAGTAGACAAAATTACTTATCTTTTTGACAAACTTAGTATTTCTTAAATTGCCAGAGACCACAAAATGAAAAGGTGCCACTCAGAACTTCACAGAAAAGCCATAGAAATTATCTCATCCATAGTAAATTAATATGAACCATTACAAACAAAAAATATTATAAACTATAGATAAATTGGCTTTTGGAAAATTGCCTTGAGTACTTACTCTACTTGGTTCCGGATCAACCTACATTGATAAATGTCACTCATTGTTAAATTTTAGGGAAACAGAATGTGATTGGTTAAATTCAAGTTTTAATCTTATGTGGCTGGGACACATGGTATATTGGGCTGGAGTTGAGTGAATTCTTTAAAAATAGCAGATAGATATAAGGCAATGATTGGTGTGCCTTCTAAACCGCCAAAAGTCACATCTTTTTTTCTGAGATAGTCTCACTATGTTGCCCTCAGTACAGTGCTATGCGTCATAGCTCACAGCAACCTCCAACTCTTGGGCTTAAGCCTCTCTTGCCTCAGCCTCCCAAGTAGCTGGGACTACAGGTGCCCGCCACAACACCTGGCTAATTTTTTGTTGCAGTTGTCATTATTGTTTAGCTGGCCTGGGCTGGGTTTGAATCCATCACCCTAGGTGTATGTGGCTGGTGCTCTAACCATTGTTGAGCCCAAAATTCACATCTTATAAATGGTTGAAGCAGTATTCAAACTCAGTTACTTTTTACATAAATTTCATGCTTTTCGCTATTTTGATCTATTGTTTGAGAATGTATCACATAAAGCTATTAATAAAATTTCATTGAGACACTACTTTTGAGCATAATACTATTCTGAGAAGCACTGGAATTAAATAAATGACAGTATATAGTTGTCAAATCAATTTATGTCCGTTCAGAAAATTATACCTGTATTATCTTCAAATACTACATTTATTTATTTGAGATAGAGTCTATGTCGCCCTCTGTAGAGTGCTTTAGTGTCACAGCTCACAGCAACCTCAAACTCTTGGGCTTTAAGTGATTCTCTTGCCTCAGCCTCCCAAGTAGCTGGGACTACTGGCACCCACCACTCACAGCAACCTTAAACTCTTGGGCTTTAAGTGATTCTCTTGCCTCAGCCTCCCAAGTAGCTAGGACTACAGGTGCCCGCCACAACACCTGCTTTTTTTCTATTGCAGTTGTCATTGTTGCTTAGCTGGCCTGGGCTGGGTTCAAACCCTCCAGCCTCGGTGTATGGAGCTGGCACCATAACCACTGTGCTACAGGCGCTGGGCCAAACACTACATATATTTAAAAAGTTAATGTTCTTACCCAATACTAAATTGCATTTCCTTCCTTTCTCAAATAGGCCAAGAATAAGTTTAATGCAAAACAAGCAAAACAAGCAGAATTAGATTACTACAGACTTACTGAAGTTCTTGCGGCTGAAAAGGAGAAAGAATTTCAAGATTACGCCAGAGAAGTAATTGATCTTGAGTCTAAAACAAATAGATTTATTTATCCTCTTGTAAAGGCTGCACAGGAAGGACCTGGAGGTGGCCATGGACCAGTTTTGGTGAACAGAGGTGGATTAAGACCCAGCTATCAGGCAACTGATACTACTGGAGTGCAACTCCCTTTTTATAACTCTAAAGGATCAAAATATAATAATTTTCAAAAGTCTAAGGGAAGGCTAGGTTTTACATGGTAGAAAAGTTTATTTTTAAGAGAAGACTAAGTTGTAGCAAGGACCAACTGCAAATGTAAATGGATTATATAAAATTTCTGTTAATAAAGATATTCTTCGTCTTAATGCAACTGTCTGATTTGATTCTTCACAGTATTTCCATTGGGTATATATAGGACAGTTAGTTCAGATCCCCTCACCCCCAAGACAGAAGTCTCATTATGTTGCAGCATCAGCCTAACTCATGGCAATCTCAAACTCCTGGGTTTGGCTCAGCGCCTGTGGCTCAAGCTGCTAAGGCGCCAGCCACATACACCTGAGCTGGCAGGTTCAAATCCAGCCCAGAGCCACCAAACGACAGCTGCAACCAAAAAATAGCTAGGTGTTGTGGTGGGCACCTGTAATCCCAGCTACTTGGGAGGTGGAGGCAGGAGAATTGCTTGAGCCCAGGAGTTGGAGGTTGCTATGAGCTGTGATGCCACAGCACTCTACCCAGGGTGACAGCTTGAGGCTCTGTCTCAAAGAAAACAAAAAAATTCCAGGGTTCAAGCCATCCTCTTGCCTCAGCCTCCCAAGTAGCTGGGACAACAGGCACCCACAATACCTAACTTTTCCAGTTTTAGTAGAGATGGGGTCTTGCTCAGGCTGGTCTTTAACTCCTAAACTCAAGGGATCTTCCCACCTCAGCCTCCCAGTGTTAGGATTATAGGCCTGAGCCACTGTGTCAGGTCCAGATTCCTTTTTTAAAATTATAGTAAAATGTGTACACAATATATTTAAATGAACATTCAATGGCATTAAGAACGTTCAGAGCATTGTGTCACCAGAGCTTTCTGGTGCTCCAAATGGAAACTCTTCATTCCCCCTCCCCGAAGCCTCTGGTAACCGTACTAATCTTGTTTCTGTGGATTTGCCTATACTAGATATTGTATATAAACAGAATCATACTGTAATCTCTTTTGCCTTGGTTGTTTTACTTAGCATATTTTGAAGATTCACCCATGTTGTACAAGGTATTAGTACCTTTCTTTTTATGGCTAAATAATAATCTACTGGATATGTATCCTTTTAGCAGAAATTCATGTTTACCTGCTTTGTCAAAAAATAGTTACATGGGGCAGCGCCCATAGCTCAGTGGGTAGGGCACCGACCACATACACGAAGGCTGGAGGGTTCAAACCCGGCCCAGGCCAGCTAAAACAACTGCCAACAATAACAACAAAATAACCAGGTGCCTTGTAGTCCCACCTACTTGGGAGGCTGAGGCAAGAGAATCGAGCCCAAGAGTTAAGGTTGCTGTGAACTGTGACACCATAGCACTCTACCCAAGGCAACAGCTTGAGATTCTGTCTCAAAAAAAACCACTCAAAAACCAAAAAGTAGTTAAATTAGTACAGCACTAATATCATTAACAATGGGATTCCTCAACGTAGTTTAAAACTTATTTTTGTGTTCTTATAGAGTGTTATCTTACTAGACGTGTGAATTACCAATAAAATAATTTTTTTTAGAGATGGGGGCATCTCACTATGTTGCTCTGGGTAATCTCTAAATCCTGTGTGATCCTCCTGCTTCAGCCTCCCGAAGTACTGGAATTATAGTTGTGAGCCACCCTACCCAACAGTTTGAAGTCACTTAAATAATTCTAAAAGAAAAATAATAATTCTGCATGTAGTTTTGCCAGTTTGTATACGGGTTTAGTATGTTTTTATTAATTGTATTCCTGTTCCTTTTTTTCATTTTTCAGTGGTTAAAAAAACCCCACAACTTAAAATTTGTCATCTTAACTATTTCTACATGAAATAGCTGGGCAATCTGCAGAATTCTGTCATCTTGCACAAATGAAACACTATATTCACTAAACTTTTTTTTTTTTTTTTGAGACAGAGCCTTAAGCTGTTGCCTTGGGTAGAGTGCTGTATCATCACAGCTCACAGCAACCTCAAACTCCTGGGCTCTCAGCCTCCCAAGTAGCTGGGACTACAGGCATCCGCCACACCACCTGGCTGTTTTTTGGTTGTAGTTGTCCTTGTTTGGTAAGCCCACACTGGATTCGAACCTAGGCACCTGTAATCCCAGCTACTTGGGAGGTGGAGGCAGGAGAATCGCTTGAGCCCAGGAGTTGGAGGTTGCTGTGAGCTGTGATGTCACAGCACTCTACCCAGGGTGACAGCTTGAGCATGTGGCTTGGTGCCTTAGCCGCCTGAGCTATAGGCACTGAGCCAACTAAACTACTTCTCATTCTGCCCTTCTCTCAACTACTGTGAAGCACCATTCTTTTACTATGAATTTGACTTCTACAGTATATGTACTTCTGTGACTATTTACATTTAGCATAATGTTCTCAAGTTTCATCCATATGGTAGCATGGGGGTCCTCAAACTTTTTAAATAGGAGGCCCGTTCACTGTCCAACTGTTGCAGGGCCGGACTACAGGTCCTGGGATGAGTCAGCTGCTAAGCAGGATAGGCAGTGGCAGTAAAAACACCCAGCGGGCCAGATAAACGTCCTAGGGCAGGCTGCATGTGGCCTGCGGGCCGTAGTTTGAGGACGCCTGTTGTAGCATATCAGTATTCTTCCTTTAAAAAGCATTGTAATATCTTACTGTATGTGTACACATTTTATTTATTTATTCCTTCCTTGACAGGTCGCTTCCACCTCTTGGTACTGTGTACATACTGCTATGACCTGGATGTACTAATAACTCTTTTGAGATACTTCCAATTATTTTGGATATATACCAACAGTTAAATTGCTGAATCATATAATTCTACTAAATATTTTTAGGCACTGCCATACTGTTATCCATTATAGCTGTACCATCTTATATTCCTAAAAGTAACGAGGGTGCACATCCTCACCAACACTTATTTGGTTTTGTTGATAATAGCCATCCTAATTGGCTATGATGTGATACCTCATTGTGGTTTTGATTTGCATTCCCTAATAATTAGTGATGTTGATTGAGTATAATGCCGTATGCCTGTTGGCCAGTTGTGTTTCATCTTTGGAAAAATGTCTATTTTGTTTTCTCACAATACAAATAATTTCGTCTCTGTGGGTAACAGTTATGTTTGGTGGTGTTATTTTCATTATTTAGCTTTTAATTTAAAAACAGGTGAGGCAGCGCCCATAGCTCAGTGGATAGAGTACTGGCCACATATACCCAGGTTGGCTGGTTGAAACCCAGGCCGGGCCAGCAGTCCCAACTACTTGGGAGGCTGAGGCAAGAGAATCACTTAAGCCCAAGAGTTTGAGGTTGCTGTGAGCTGTGATGCCATGGTACTCTACCGAGGGCGACAAAGTGAAACTGTCTCAATAATAATAATAATAAAAATAAAAACAGGTTGAATAATACAATATAAAAAATACAAACCCAAACTGTTTATTATAGTATAGTTTATTTAATACAATGTTTAACTATAAAAGTTAATACAGTTTCGAAGTTTAAATTTTGTAAAATGCAGTTTGCAGAAAACAGCTGAACAATTATGGACTAATGGTTAAGAGAAGCAGCATTTTGAAACTAATTTTACAATTGAGAAGACAACAGCTTTATTTCTAAATTTCATTAAAAAAATATACATCACAGTGACTTCTGAGCTAGGAAAAGAAGTGCATTAACTTCATTTGTTTTTTCCTTCCACAAAGAGAGCAGCCACAACTTTGAACATCCCCACATACAAATACCCAATGCATTTATCAATCTTTCAAAAACACTATGTATACACAAAAGGGGAATAAAATATACAGCATGTGCTTTTGGTAACATGAAATTTGCTTAAAGGAAAAAAATGGGAGAAACACAACCCTGCACTCTCTCCCCTGTACCAAAAAAACAAAGAAACCCTCAAAGACTCCCTTCTCCCACCTTGCTGTCGAAATTTTCTTATTCATGTGATTTTCCTCCTTTAATATTTACTGCTTTGTCACACAACAGGACACAAAGTTTGCCTGTGCCTAAATCCTTTAAAGGCAGTTAGTTGGGAAGCCCACCATGAGCAGGTGTGCCAGTCAATAGTGCACTTCCTGGGGGCTTATTTTATTTTCTTTAAACAAGTATTTGTAATAAAGCACATCTTTTCACAATATACAGGTTATCAGCCTATAATCCTTAGAGAGTTTATTCAATTGTAAACAGATGAATCCTTACAGAAAATACAACCAAAAGAAGACAGAAAAAATACCTATTTTATTTCTTTATATCAGCTATATGATATATATATTTAAAGTACCTTCTGGTGAAGGCAAACTCAAGTTTCTATAGAAATTCACTATAAAAAGTTCAGTGTGATGAAAACTATTGCCAACTGGAATGAAGAACAATAAACTACTGAAAAATATACTAACTTGCTCCATATAGTAGTAAATATAAAATAAATTACAACTGCCAGTTAATACCACTACTTGAAAAACTGGAAACCCATTTTGTGCCTATTAATAACATAAAAAATAAAATCTTCCGTTTAGTTTCATTCCCTCCACTAGGCACAAGAATTCAAAGGCTATTCACAAAGCCAACATGCATCAATATCACACTTGTGCAGAGGCAGATTTATCACGTTAATACCTTGCAACTTCAGAGGGCTTCAATTAAGTAACTTAAAAGAAACATTTGCTGTATGAACTCACCAACCACAAGTTAATGAAAGAATGTTTTAAAACAACCCAGCAGGTTCTCTACTGCTCATTTCATTAATACTAATTTCTGTAGTGTTACCTTTGTGGTAGACAGCTTACCCAGAAAAATAATTCACATAAAAATAATCATCATGAAAATTCTACCTGCTAAAAAAATGTTCTTGGTTATCATCAATCAACCAAGAAAAATTAACCAAGTTAATATCTTTAAAAGGATGTTAAGTCAAAGATACTTTGACATGAACTGTAAGCTCAGACATAACTATAAAATCAATTTGATAGGGAAAAAACAGCTGACTTTTAGGAAAACAGTTTAATGTAAAAACTACAGAGAGTATAACTATTAAAATGTAACAGAAAGGACTATTTGAGCTACATGCTATTCAGCAGATGGCAAGTGCAGACCTTGAGGGTATAGTTAGTGCTATTTAATCTTTTTCTAAATGTTCTTTCTATCCTCAAACAATCTGATTGTCCTCTCA